CAAGCTTTAAAGCACAAGACAGACAAAGCAATAATTAGTTTTCAGTATTGAAACAGCTTTCTAAATATTGCACATAAGCTTTTAATAAAGATAATAATCTACATACACAGCATTTGGGCACCTTGCCACTGATGTATGGCCTCTAATCAATTGCTTGTTCAGCACTGAATATTCAGTACATTTTGTATACAGAACAAAATGGTTATTTTCTGAGGAACTTAAATACATTTTAAAATAAACTTATCTGGCTGAAAATTTTGGACACTTAATGCAGACCAGTAGCTAGGAAAGGAGAATTAAAAGGAAAGGTTAAGCAAGCTGCCTAGGTTTAAATTTAGCTCTGTCACTAGCCTCTTAGATGACCTTGAAAAAATTATTTTAGTTCTTAGTTTCCTCCATTTGTGAAGATATCAACAAAGATACCTAAAGCTGTAAAACAATCATTGAAGTCTATTACATAAAATCATTATTAGACGTCACAATTGGTTCTTGAAGCTTTCCCCTCCCCAACAGATCCATGAAGCGTCTGTGAATCAGACACTTTTCCACTACATCTCTAAATACTTTGTAAGGTTCTCAACTAGATGTGTTAACTCGGAAAAGGGTTCTGGACATCAGTGAAGGTATTGGAAATGTCTGTTCAGTATGCAGCTGCAGATGAAAAGAACATGACATTAAAATGCATAAAGAATACACCAGAAGATAAAATTAGCTTTTCCAATGCCTTTAGATAAATTAATAGTACTGCTTCATTTGAAGGAGTGTTTGCATTACAGGTCACCCCTTCCTTATGGTGATATTCTAGAACGACAGAAGGTTTCAAAGATAATTGGTGAAAACGATCACTAGCTATTTGCTTTGACCTTTGGACCGAAGGATCATTTATTGTATAAAGTGACTAAGAGAAAGTATTTCATGAGAACCAGAACCAACGAAAACCGCTTGTCATGGATTTGTCTCTGGTAGTTGACTACAAGTCTGTCCTCATTTTTTTCTTACACTTGCCACTGAGGCATGTATAGGAAACCTGCCTTTAGTAGAAGCCAGTAGTCCTGCCTTTAGTAGAAGCCCTTATAGGTCTCTCTCATCTCTGTAGCTGCAAGTTTCCAAAGAACCTGTAGGAAAAGAATTGTCTTTCACAGCACTAACACATCTTTGATTGAGAGTGTTACTGGAGAAAGGAGGATGGTTTGACATGATCATAGAATCCTAGAATCATTAAGATTGGAAAGGACCTCTGAGATCATTGGGTCCAACCTGTTAACCTAACTGCCTGGTCTATCTCTAAGCTATGTCCCTAAGCATCGCATCCGCATTTGCTCTCTTTCCTTAAGAAGCCAGATAATATAACATGGTAAAAATATACAAATTAGTACAGATAGGCTAATTCTCCCATTTTTCCCCTAGCCTATGCCATAAAAGTAAAGAAACTCAAAAGAACAATTTCAAAACTTGTAATAGAACAAACTTCTTAAGGCAAGAAAATGATAAAAGTCACTGAGATCAAGATTAGAAAAATGGAAGCAACAACTGAGCATTTATTTATATGTAGAACATCCCATATGATTCCATTAGTGACAATAATAATGTTGGGTTACTAATCTCAGACTTCAAGTATGAGTCAATCTCTAATAGAAATAAGATACATTAGAAACAAAATGTCCTTCTGATGCTAGAGGTAAGAGGCAATATCCTTTGCTGACAGAAGAAGGTGCTTAGTGCTTCCTCTGGCCCTCGCTAAAAAGAGGATACTGAATTAGTAGGATTTCAGTGTGATCCAGACTGAAATGCTTTTATTTCTATTGAAACTGCAATCCAAAAGCAATACATACATTTCCAATTTAAGACAAACACAGTGCAGCTCAAAACATTACGAAAACAAACGCCCAGCATATGATCTTCCTCTCAGGATTAACACAAATCAGCTGAAATTGTTTCTTAGGAGACACCAAGAGATGTATTTGGTACTGTTTTTCTTGTTATTGACAGGTTTGTTTAGTGTATCACATGACGGCAGCTGTATATAACCTCATCTTGCTGAACTGTATGCCAGTGCATCACACCAGGCAGGGTAACTAGTCTGGTGGTCATCAGACCATTGAAATTAATCTATTGCCAGTTCCGATCTTTCAATATTTTTTTTTTCAAATTATCATTCATATTCCATTTTAGCCCATATAGTCAAATTCTACAGCAGTTCAATACATGTCGACATGGATACCCATACTTCCAAAGGAATAGAATAAACTTTTCTGCATGTATTATCAGAATACACATATATATTTTTCAAAATTTATTTTGAAATCTTCGGTTACAAAATTATTAGCTAATCTTCGGTTACAAAATTATTAGCTTTATGGAGCCAGTACAACAACAAACTGTTCTTTCTAGAACTACTACATATCCATGTCACATACTATGAGAGATATAAAAAAAAAAAAAAAAGGAGAAGCAAGCAGGCATGAGTAACCTTGTGTATATCTGTGGCTGCATCTAGTCTCCCACCTGGAATGCTGTTGGTGGCAATCACCATGCAGAGATTTAAAAGCTTTGTTATTGCCGACAGATTGTGTTAATTTGGGGTGCATTTATCAAGTATGTAAAACATGCCATGTTTATAATACACAGGATGGCTTCGGTAGGTATGGAAAAATTCCACCAAAACTAAACTTTATGAACATATACAGTTATTTAATTTACCAAGCAAAAATTTGTGCACCATAGAATTTTAAATAAACAGATGTATCTGCAAGGCAGTGAGCAGTGTCCATGGATGCATCTCCATGACGTAGGTACAGAGGCTGTCTTAGTCCGGCAGATACAATGACCTTTTTTTTAAAAAAAAAAACAAAAACAAACCCCACAAAAACCAAAAAACACACAAAACCAAACACAGAAGAAAAAAACAAAAAAAATGTAACAGGTAACGTTATCTTAACATTAATAACATCTTTGCTATAGATAAAGGCTTATATTTTTGTTTCAAGTATTTTATTAAAGTACCATTTTAAAGAAAATTTTATCAAATGATAGAACTGTACAAGTCCATCTAGACAGCAAGGCTATAAATTTGAGAAGCTGATAATAAAATCACAAACCCACAATCCGTTACTGAATGATGTCAGTGTTATAAAAACACACTTGTTTTACTTGGTATTATTTTAAGGCACTCTTAAGACCCCATATGCTGTAATTAGCAACAGCAAATGAGACGATTCATAGCTTGACATGTAAACACACATTATAGGGGAATAAGTTAGTGAACGATTAATAGGTATACATCCTTCCTATAAAATACAGCATCCACCAGAGTCATACGTGATAAACAGGTCTGAAAAACCTATAACCTCTCCTGCTGGTAGCAGCCAGGCACAGGAAGAAAGGAGTTGACGTACAAGTTTTGTTTTGTAAATCTCACATTTTTTATGATGATGACAGTGGAAGCAAAACACCCACCCCAAACAAAACCTGCGAAGTTCATTAAGCTAATCGCACAAATTCACAGGGCTAAGGTAAAACTGAGGGCTGGTCCTCGATACCCTGAAGGACCTTCACCCAAACACGCATTTCAGACGCTGCAACAGAAGCAGTGGGATCTGCATGAAAACAAGCCCGCTCATAAATATGAATTAACACACGTAACGCTACAACCACACGTAGTTCAACACAGAAATTCGTGCCTAAGACACCTAAATCCTACCTGCACCTATACAGGAGTTCTTTATTTCGCTAAAGAACACAGGATATGCTTTTTCAGGGCGGCAAATATGTTTTATTTAGTGTTTGGATGGAAAACGGCTTCCATTCCCATTCAGGCGCTCCAGGGGTTGCTGGTTTTTGCTCCATCTTCCAGTCCGTAACGCTTCCCTTCAGCCCCGCGGCTGCCGCCTC